TTATTCAACCTACTTGGAATTCATAGGTTTTCTTGTACCTGTAAATAGATGTCTTTAATCAGTTCTGGGTAGTTCTCATTTTCTCTTTGTCTATTACCTCTGCCATATTCTCTCTCTCCTCTCTTTCTTGTACTCCAGTTAAACATATTTTAGATTTTCTCACTATGTCACTGTATCCTCACTGTTTCTTACCATTTTTTTTTGTGTATTTTCCATCTTTTTTTGTTACTGTATACTTGATTCTAGATATTTTACTAATTATCTCTTCAGTTGTGTCTAATAATCTCTTGTTAAACCCATCAGTGTGTTATTTTCAGGTGTTTTATTTTTATAGCTCTAGCATTTTATTTGATTCTTTTTCAGATAGGTTTGGGGAAGGCTGTCTGGACTCAGGGCCTGGAGGGTCTCCATCCCCCACGGGGACCCTATCGCAATGCACTGCTTGACGTGCCTACCACTGGGAGGAAGATGTTGAGAACAAGGTTAACTACCCACCTGCCAAGATAGCAACCAGACCTGGGAGAAAAAATCCACCAAAGATATGCTGTGACCATGCAGGAATCAGTCCATACCTTGCTACCTGAGGTTGGCAAATTCCCTCAGCAGAGAAAAATAGACAGGGATGGCCAGCTCATTCTGAAAGAGTTCTCTCCTCTCTGAAATTGTCCAATGACTTTAAAATTAGGAATTTTTTTTCTAGGGGTAGTGGTAAATATCTGTTTTTCTAGTTGTTGCAGCAGGAGTGTTGGCCCGTGCAAACTTGTAAGTTCTACACAAAAAAATAGAAGTCCTGTCATGCTCTCTTGATATTTCCTTTTTGTCTCTCACCCTGAGTTTTGCTGGACTGAACAGTGCTGCTTTCTGTTTCCCCTTCTGATTTGGAAATTTTATGTTTTGTTTCTGTTTTCTTGGCTTCTTTATAAATTTTAACAATTTTAATTTAAACATTAATAATTATATAACTCCCTACCCCCCCAGTGAGACAAAGCCTTTATTTCCTCATTCCCCCACTTTCTTGCTCCTCAGCTCCTTTAGTCTGGTGTCCTCTAGTGAATACTCCACCTTGCAGCTGGAGAAATCTCTCTGAAATGATCAACCCTCTCCAACTGAAAACCCTTCAGTAGTTTTCCATAACCCTTACAATAACGTCCAGGCTCTTAACATAACACATTAGGTGCTGTCTGGACCCTGCCACCCTTTCTGTCTTCATCTACAAAATCCCTTTCCCTTAAAGAAAAGACATATGAATAAACTACAAAAATATCTGGGTCAAGTCAGCACCGTTATAACTGCCTGAACTGCCACATTGGTTCATGCCTTTGCCCCTTCTTTTCATTGCTGGCCATCCCAATCCAGGCAAGAGAGGGAAGTATCATGTGGGGATATGCCACCACACCCTCCATCTGCCTTTTCTTACCCCAACAAGCCCATTGAGGGAAGGGACTGTGTTGTCTTTATCTTGGTGTTCCCAGCACTTAGCTGGAATGCAGTAGAGGATGAGTAAATGCTTGTGGAAGGAAGGAAGGAAGGAAGGAAGGAAGGAAAGAAGGAAGGAATGGAGAAGTGTATGGAGGAATGGAGGAGAAGGCTTATATGCCTAGATAGGCCTCGGCTTCCCAGGGCAGGAATGGGGGCAGCCCTAGGGAGATCCTTTGGGAGGACACACCCGGAGGTGCCTCCACATGGCTGCTCAGTAAGGTAAGAAAAGGACTTAAAGACAAGGTGGTTATGTTAGTCAGAGATAGTTTGATTACAAAAAGCAGAATCCTTCTTAAGTTTAAAAAAGAAAAAAAAAGGCAGGGGGAATGGGAGGAGCCTTTGTAGGTTAGAGAGCAGTGGTCTGTTACGAAGCTACGGTCAGTGTCTCAGCCCATTTGGCTGCTATAACAGAATACCAGAGATTGGGGGCCTTATAAACAACAGAAATTTATTTCTCACAGTTCTGAAGGCTGGGAAGTCCAAGATCAAGGTGCTGGCAGATTCGGTATCTGGCGGGGACCCCCTTCTTGGTTCTTAGATGGCACTTCTTGCTGTGTTCTCACATGGTAGGGGGGCAAGGGAGCTTACTAGGGCCTCTTTTATAGGGGCACTCATTCATGAGAGCTCTGTCCTTGTGACCTAATCACCCCCCAAAGGCCCCACGTCCTAATCCCATCACATTGGGGTTAGGTTTCAACATACGAATTTTGGGGGGACACATTCAGACCATAGCAGTCATGAGGACAGCCAGGCTACGTAAGGACTAAGAGCCATGTCCTTTCCTCTTTGGGACTTTGTGGCTTTCATCAGAGCTTCTTTGTGAACCTGCTTCCTTTCTCTGCACACTGGCTTTCTCTGCTTTCTTGTGCATGTGCTGGAAAATGGATGCCTTGGGCCTGCCTGAGTTTCTGGTTTGGGCTCTTGAGGACTGCCTGAAAGCCGTCCTGTCCCACTTATAACTGTAGGGACTGAAGCCCTGGACCGGGTACCTCAGCCACAGGCAGACAAGGGTCACACGACTGTCTGATGGTTGTGCTAGCAGAGGTGTGGGTGGGGCAGACTGATTGATGGGCAGCCACCAAGTGATGTCCACTCAGTCCTTCCTTTTCAAGAAGTGAGTACTGAGTTTGCAAAATTAATTTTCAGACAATTATTGAATAATACAATTCTGTATGGAGTTGAGATACCTTTTTTTTGTTGTTGTTTGTTTTTTGCAGTTCTGAAAAACTTACCTATTCAGAAAAGAAATGTCTACCTGAGAAAGAGAACAAGACTACTGACCTAAGTCAGATTATTTTTGAAAGGAAGTTTCATTCCTCAAAGCTCAGCCAGGAGAATAAAAGGCACGAGAATTGTGTGGTGAGTGGATGAGATCTGGGGGGAGCAGGGCTGGGATGGCGTAAGTTTGCAGCATGCATAAGATAGCAGACGTTGATTGTGGAATCCGAGCCATTGACAGATCCCTCCTTCTCACATGGGTTCCCCAGGGCAGAGAAGGCAGGAGCCAAGGAAGGGAGTGAAAAAGAGGATGCAGAAGAGGCTTTATTTAATGCACAAGAGCTGATGGGTTTGTGTCTGGGCTTGGTGCTGCTGCATAGATGGGACAGCTTTTGGCAGGGAGCCTGAGGTCTGGAGATCAGAAAAGGAGCCATACTGGGGAATCCTGGAGCCTGCTTTTGGGGGACAGATTGTGCCCTTACAAGATGAGAGAAACCCTGGCCACGGAGTTCTGCCCTCTAAAATCTCCTCAGTTTTTCCTGGAATTTTTGCTCTTCTGCCATTTTTCTGCCATTTAGACATCCAACCCAGACCAAAAAAATTTGTTCTCCTTAGTGTAGTCACAATAGGTGGGAACGTTCTGAAATGAAATTTATACTAAAAATTAGGCCACATGATGGCTTAGATACATGAAAGTTATTTTATATGTAAGCATTTTCCACGCACAGGTTTTTTACCGTGAGCTCACAATCTGGCACATCTTCCCTTCCATCCTCTCCCACATCCTGTATCCTAATGCCTGAGGGTGAGGATGCTTCCAGAGAAGCCTCCAGGTGCCTGGGAACTCTAAGGGGTTCATGACTGACTGGAGTGCAGTGGGTCTTTGTGTTCACCAAATGCCCCACTCTCGCCTCCAGCACAAGGCGAGAGTCCCTCCAGATGACAAAGGACTAGTTCTCTGTAGCACGAAAACCTTGTTAGATATTTTGTGACCCAGGTCCTACCCAATCCCATGTTTTCCCCAGTCTCTCAGAGAGAAACGGATTTTCCTTATGTGGTTAAGTTTCCATACCACTTTCCTCAGCAATTAAAAAAAAAATTTTCTTTTGAAAGATTTTATTTATTAGAGAGAGAGGAGAGAGAGAGCGCACAAGCAGGGGGAGTGGGAGAGGGAGAAGCAGACTTCTCGCTGAGCAGGGAGCCCGATGGGGGGCTTGATCCCAGGACCCTGGGATCATGACTAGAGCAGAAGGCAGCCGCTTAACCAACTGAGCTGCCTATGCGCCCCCTTCAGCAATTTCTTCTGGGAATAATTCTGAGAGCCAAGTCCCTTGGTCAGTTCTGAACGGGACAATGTCAGCTCTGCCCTTCTGGCAGGGGAGCCTGACTGCTGTTGCCACGTGAGGCAAAAAATGGAGTGTGTTTTACACACAACAGAAATTTATTTCTTGCTCAGGTGTCAGAACAGGGTAGGTTGGCAGACTGTCTCTCTTCTATGCAGTCTTTGGGAGTCTAGCTGAGGGAATCTTTGTCATCTTTACTGCCCAGATTCCAAGGTTGCTCTGGGGAACTCATTCCTGTCCACCTGAAGAGGGAAGAGGTCATGGAGGAGTGCTGCCCTGGCAGGGTGGGTGGGCCAGGTCTCGCATGTTCCAACCAGCGAGGACCAGTCACATGGCTGTCCCTAACCGTGGGGTGGGGGTGGGGGGAGTGTGCTGGGAAAAGTAGCCCCTCGCCGCTCTGAGCACAATGGCAGAGAGAGCAAGTATTTTGTGGACAGCTGGTCATCTCTGTCCCACCATAGAAAGGTTAGTACCATGTGGAGTCCAAAGACATAGGACTTGAGCGTCACAGAAGCCAGAGAGCAGGGGAGAGGTGAGGAGAGGGCTGCCTGGAAGGTCTCAGCTCAGGCAGGAGGGTCGAGTGTTGGGTGGGATCCTCCGAGGCCTTCCTCCCTGCCCCCATCAGCCCTCTTCCCTACCCGACACTCAGCGCTTCCCTCTGTTCATAGGTTGGAGGAACCAGACAGCACAGACCGCGATCCTGGGTGGCTGGGGACGGCCAGCATGGGTGGGGGGCACGGCCCGTGGAAAGGAGAGTGACGACGGCAGAGGCCCTGGGGCGGCACCGGGCCTCCCTGTAGCTGGGGCGCGGCTGCCAGGAACCGGGCCATCTGCAGGGAGGCCACTGGCAATAAAGCTTCGCTGAGCTTTGGTTTGTAGTGTCTGCGCCACAGTTAAAATGCTGCCGGCAGGTTTTTCTGTCTCCGGACGTGTAAGATATTGCAAGAGATAACCACATCATAACAGTTACCGTTTATTGCGCTCCTGTTGTGAACTAGGTGAGGTATTTTATTCACGTAAAAGTCTTCACAGCAAGACAGTAGTAGTATCTCCCATTACGTGAAACTCAGAGGGGTTCAGTAACTTGTTAAGGTCGGCTGCATTGTTGAAAGTGGCAGCGTTCTCGATTCCAAGTCCAGGCCCTCCAGTGCCAAAGTACTGGTCTGATCACCAGAGCACACTCCCTCCTCACCCCTATAATGTGAGTCAAACTGCTCAGGATTTGGGTCCCTTTCAGAGGGTGGTTATCCTGCTGGTGTGCCACAGTGTCCTGATCCTGAAGAGCTCGGGGGTGGGGGTGGGGGTTGCTGGGCATCCCTCGGGTCTGCTCAGCCCTTCCCCGGGGGATGCAAGTAGTCTAAAGGCACACTCCGTTCCCTCACCCTTCAGAAAATCAAGCTCAGTTTCAGTCAGGAGAGAACTTGATTTCTCCAGGGGCAGAGCTGCGTTCCTAGGTCAAAGCAGGTGACTGGCGTTGCTGGGAGCACAGACATTGAATGTCCTCTGAAGTTTCAGAGAAGTTGTCTGACTCACATCCTCCAGGCTCCTCTGTCCTGAATCTGAAGAGAACCCTGACATATGTAGACATGGAGAAATGGCTTTAGCCATAGTTCATCCCAGTGAGAATTCAAGTCCTCACCGTCTTGAGAAAAGGATTATTCTGTAGCTCGGGTCACAAGTAACCCCAGAACTGGTTTTAAACCAGCCTGACCCATCAGTGACAGTCTCGGGCTTTGGAAGACCAGTCAGAGGCAGACTTGGACATCAGCCCATACCTGCCTCCAAAACCAACACAAAACTTGCTTCAAGACCCTATGGGAGACCCTCTAGGAGATCAGTGAGGCTGTGTGCCTGACCGGCCAAACTTTTCCTTAATTAATGTATCCAGTTGTTTTGGTTTCACATGCTGAGTGGTGTCTCTTCTGTTGACACTTTTACATCTAAGTTTTAACAAGTCAGCGTCCAGAATTAATACCTGGAATTATGATTTTTTTTTACTTGAATATTCTGAATTATGTTTTCCAGCCTTTCTTTGCCCAGTGATTATGTTTAGACAGAAATGGGGGCCGGGGTGGAGGGACATCTGAATGTTTCTTGTTCTTCCAGCTCCCTGAGAAGATGTGCTCCCTGAAAATCAGGGCACCTGCAGCCTGTGTGGTTCTTTCCAAAAGACCACTCTTTCCAGCTGCACTCATTAACCCAGGGATTTAGTGGGTAAGACCTTATTTTTGTCAATGTTCAAAACAAACTGCATATTTCAAAATCCAGAGCCCAAACAAGCAGCTCCGACGGTGTAGATGTGGCTCTGACAGGACAGGGGACGGGGAGAGAGAGGTGCTGCTGGAGCTGGAGGCTGAGGGCCTGCTGAGGATGTGTAATGTCTGTTCTAAGTTACCTCTCAGGTTGCTGCTCACCTGGCAAGCACAAGGACTCAAAGGGTGTTGCTCCCACAGAGGTCAGCAGTCTCACCACCAAAGATAACCAAGCCCTAGAAACAGTAGGTAAATGTACCAGAGTCCTAGAGCAAGTGAGAGTCAAGACGAGGCTGCAGGGTCTCCTAGGCACTCCCCCTCCCCACGCTGCCCTTGGTTTTTGCCGCCCTCGCAGAAAGGAAATTTGGTTTCATTACCAGCAACCCCTGAACTTACCTCTTATTTTTATATTTTTTAAAGATTTTATTTATTTATTAGAGAGAGAGAGCAAGCGAGAGAGCACAAGCAGGGGGAGTGGGAGAAGCAGGCTCCCTGCTTAGCAGGGCTCGTTCCCAGGACCCCAGGATCATGACCTGAGCCGAAGGCAGACGCTTAAAGACTGAGCCACCCAAGCATCCTGAACTTACCTTTTAAGAGCCTTTCAGGTGGAACGTAAATCAGTCAAACTTTGAAAGAAGTTACATTCATAAACTTATATTTTTATTCTCTTTCTGTACATATTGGCAATGATAAAGCTTAAAGATGCATGTCCTATGAAATAGGCAAAACAAGGAATTTACATAAATAATTTATACTTCAGAAAACTAAAGTTGAAAAATATTTCCATATTATTAGAGTTCACAGTATTTAAAGTAAATCAAGCTTTCCCCTTTATATTTCAAACTCTATTGTCTCAGCAGAGATGATAAAATCTAATCGGGAATAAAATGATCAAGTCTGTTTTTGTTCAGTGCACAGAGTAGACAGACTTCAGCCTGAGGCTGCGCCCGCACTCCCCAGTCCTCCACCTCCTGAGCACCCGTGGCCCGGCACAGGCCCCCGGCACGGGGTAGCTACAGCATCACCAGAACCACCCGCCCTGGGCACGTTCAACCACAGGTAGCATCTGGTGTTCTGATGCCTCATTTCCACTTAATACTTTTTGTAGCCCTGAAAATGGAAACCCTGGCATCTAAAAACAACCAAAGATGTTAACACTAATACAAGGCACTGTGCTATGGGTTTGGTTTATTTATAGGAAAGACCATGTTTGCATAGATTGCTAGCAATTTGGTGTGCAAGAAAATAGCCCCGCTGCGCGTGGCCCGCGATGGATGAAGCCGGCGGTGCTCCTTGGGCCCAGGTGCAGCACCGTCCATCTGGCTCTAGCCCAGCCTTTTGGGCAGATCCCTGAGGCCCCTACAGGAGAGTTTTTTGCTCAAAAAGCTGTAGGTCAAAGCGGACCCAGACCTCCCCCGTGGGGACCTCGTGCAGCAGGAGTCGGCGGGTTGTGGGGCCTTTGCTTTCCTGTTCTGTGCGAATTTTTGCCACTGGAACCTCAGTACGACCCAGGAAATCTGGTGAACAGACATGCGAGAGTCAAAGTTTCTTCTTTATAAAAGTCATTAAAGAAAACTACCCCAGGAGGAGTGTCTGAAGACATTCTTAAAACTTTCAGATCCAGCTTAGTGGCTGTTACTGTGACTGGATGCATGCAGAACGAGGGGTGTGCGGGAGGGAAGCTGCCTCATTGGGCTCCAGAGAATGGGTCAGCCATTCAGGAGGTGCTGGGAGGGACTGGGGTCCATAATGGAAACACCCTGGAGGCCACCCTTTGCCCCTGAGAGGAACCCCGCCCCCAGCCTTGCTTCCCATGGGAGCTGCGGGTGCCCACAGGCCCGTGCCCTTTTCCTTAGGTGTCACGGGGTAAAACTAAAGCCAAGTACCCTGGACCTAGACCCCAAATTCTAGAGTACTGGGGAAACTCCGGATTCCCTGGTCGAGTTATACTTTACCATCTGGTGAGAACTGGTCTCTGTCAAACATGGTGAGACACAGCACGTCTTGGTAGAGATCCTTAATAAAGAACTGGCAGTTAAAATTCCACTTGGGATTGAGTGTGTCCGGGAGGGTCCTGGTCGTATAGCTCTGGGAGCCCATGCTGATTTCACAGTATGGATTGCTCTTTCCTGAACAAAAACAAACCAAAGACGCACGTGGCATGTGTAAGTAAAATAAATGACAACAGCACCTTCCTTGAGCAGAAGCAGGATCCAAACCACAAGAGCGGGAGCCACTGTGTGGGGGCCCAAATGTGACTGGTGGTCTCCGTGTCCCCAGTGCTGACAGCACCGTAAGCCTGGGAGCAACCGTGCGGGCTCCAGGGCCCCAACTGTTCCCCACGAGCTTGAGCAAGTGTCAGTGTGGCTTCGACTCTGACATGCTGAGGAGGGAGGCACTGGAACTTACTGGGAAAACACACTATGATAACATTGGTCCAACAACCATTTTAGTGGCACTGGAAACACTGATTTTTCTAAGTGTCCCGTTATTCAATGTTCAGAAGGGTCATCAGCAAAGAACAGGGCAGTTACCACATCTGTTGAATGAAAGAAGCATTTACCATTCGGTTTACAGGCTTTTAATTCTGTAGCTTCGATGACCTGCACCATCAGACGCCCGATGCCTGAAGTCTTTTGAGAGCGAGCTGCAAGAGAGGAAGACAAGCCCCGGTAAGTTCTTCCCTGAGCCTGCAGGTAGCGCAGCGGACACTGAGCTGTAGATACAGTCTGTCTAACCGACCCTAACACTCCCAGTGTCCCCTGCCACGGCACTGGGCCTGGCCGACCAGCATCTGGCTGCTCTGCCTTTGCCCAGGCTGTGTCACTTGCTGGGACACCTTGTCCACTATCTCTGCTTGTCTGCGTCCTACCCAGCCTTGGACATACACGCCCAGCTTTGCTCCCATCTCTGCCCTCCTCTGCGCATCCACCATCCCAGGCTCCGGAGCGTCCTCGAGTCTCCTCTGCCAGCAGAGGCTGCTGCAGAGCTGGTGTTTACTCAGCCTTGCATTTACCCTCAGTCGCCTAGCAACTGGTAACAGTAACAAAATAAGACATTATATCCGTTCGGCACTTAAAAGTAGCTAACATTTATTGAATACTTTGTGTTGGGCACGGTGCTAGACCTCTACAAAAGTCTTATTTAAACTGTACAGTTACGCTATAGGGTGGGTGGCTGTTGGGAACTGCCATCTCCACACAGGGCAGAACTGAGTCTGAGAAAGGACCGTCACTGGCAAGGTAAAAATTCACCATCCGGGACCAACGTCTATTAGCCGCCCACCATCATTCCAGTTACATGTAAACACTTCAGCTTATAAAGCAGTTTCACTTAAGACCTTATTCTATTTGAGGATGTACTCAAAATGAGTCTGTGAACTCAGATTATCTTGGCAAATAGGAAGTTAAGCAGGTTTTGCCCTCAAGGGTTTAAAAACAAACAAAAGGCTGCTTGGTGAGCTACTGATTTTTCAAAACTTAGGGCACATAAAACTTTATGAGACGTGGCCCCCCTCCTTGTTCTTGCCAACCCTTCCAGCGCGGCCCTTACACTCAGTTCCCCTCAAAGGCAGGGCTGGGCCATATTCATCTTTGAAGGCCCGGTTAGGACTAGCACAGGGCTTGGCACAGAGTAAGTAATAAATGTCTAAAGAACTGAACATCTAGAAAATGCATAACAATATGTATAGATATTGATATTAAGCAAAACGAATATAAAAACTTTGATTTATGTCTTTTACCAATTAAGAGATTGTTATATGCTTTACAAATCATTCAGTCGTTGATTTTCAATAGCAAGCATTTGAAGTACCATTAAAATAAGATTCAATCAGCAAAAGCCAATTTACACATACCTTTCAAGAGTATATAACAAAATAAGGGAAACCTGAATAAAAAAAACAGAGTTGCAGCTACAGCAGTGGAACATAAGGGGGAGGACTGGACAGGGAAGGCTTGGGGGGGTGTAATCTGAGGTGGTTTGTTCAATCAGGCAGTGGTGTGGGCGAGGCAGAGGGAAAGGGGAGAAGTGGGGCTGCACCCTGAGTCTGGGGTAAGAATTTGTCCTTAATTTGGGAGGCAACAGGGAAGATGCTTAAGCAAGGAGATTCAGCCCTGTAAGAAGAATACTCTGGGGATGACGAGGATGGGCGATGGGGGGCCTTGTGCCAGGGTGGAAGTTGTTAACTGGGTCTTAACTGGGCTGTGCCACCGGGAAAGGACCAGGACAAGGGAAGAGAATGACAGAAGATGTGTGACTCGGCCCATGAGTAGAGGAGCATGAGGACCGAGAGCATGCTTGCAGTCCAGGTGGCAAGGACAACGCTGCGTCCACAGAGCTTCCCAGGAGGAGATGCCAAGGTGCAAAGGCCAGCAGGTGGCCGGGAGAAGTCCAGGTGTGTCTGGATGTGGGCTCAGGGAAGCAGCCCAGCATGACTTTCATGAAATTGAGAGAGCAGAGGGACAGAGAGGCTTAGGCGAGGGCGGAGCTCCAGGTACAAGCGGAGGAGGAGCCGTGACTTCCTGCCATTGGTGCAGGGGGGTGGGGGGGCTCAGGAGGGAGAGTGAGTGGCTCCGTGGGTTCGGTCACTGGTGTCAAGTGAGGGAGCCATCTGCACAGGATGGGGACAGCAAGTGCGGTGAAGGGCAGGTGAGGAGGAGGAAAACCTTGAGATTCAGGCCCCGGTGTCCAGGGAGGAGGATGGGTAGACGTGGGGGAGGCCTGGGGCAGGGGCCCGGGTGGCAGAGGAGGAGCAGAGCTGAAGGCAAACAGGCACAGAAGTGAAGCTGGGTGAAGTAAAATGGACCAAGCAGAAGTGGGCTTGCCACAGAGAGAAGGGAGGTCCCAGGGCTGGCACTGGATGCCCCCATCTGTGTAGTGGGTAGGGGTTCAGGGAGGCCCTGAGGGCAGCAGCAGCGAGGGGGGATTCTGCTGGCTGATCCCCCAGCAAGTGTGGTCCTTCCGGCTGTCCCTGTTTAGCCCCCGCCTTGCAGGAGCAGCAGCTTGCATCCTGAGGGTGGGACCGCTCCCCCTCCCCCTCCCCGGGGTCCCCTGGCAGCTGCTTCCAACCCTCCAGGGCACCACCCACTACCTTGATAAGCTTTCTCCCGTTTCTTCTTTTCCGTGTCGATGTACTGCTCGGACGCGGCCTTGATCTTCTGGACCCAGGCAGTCCTGGAGAAGAACACAGGCATGGGGCGGCTTCCCCACACAGCTCCCAGGCTCAACCGGGAGCTCCAGAGCTCTGCACTCGCTCTTCACTTCTGTGCTAACCTTGGCTTCGACAAGTTTCCAATCACAGACCCAATATTAGTTCAACTGGAAGACTTGTTTGCTGTTTGAAGATCAAGCTGGAAATTTCTAGACAGTCACTGACTGCTTATAGAACACCAGGTACGGGCAAGGTGCCGGCACCAGGGGAGAGCAGTGCGCCACGGCCGGAGCAATTCAGCACCACAGAGGGACACTCGACCTGAGACTGGGCCAAGAAGCAGGCGCGCAGAGGGGGAGGCATGTCCCCAGCCTGCCATCACAGCATGGCTGGCCAGGCAGAGAGAGGAGCGCGGCGCTCCACACGAGGAGGGCAGATGTGCCGGCTGGAGTACAGGTCCTGGGGGTGGAGGGATGGCGCTGGGGTCGAGACACACACACACACACACACAGCCTCAGCGACCGGGCGGAGGAGCCTGGACTGCCGCATGGGGGATTTTAGTAGGAAGCAAGGTGCTGGATCTCCCATTTTGGAAGATCCTGAGGAGAGACTGGAGGCAGGGACACACACTGAGGTGATCGCAATAACCCGGCACGTCCACACCAAGGCTGACCAGTGGGACTGGGGTGCACAGGACTGGTTAGGAGAGCCTGGGGTGCAGAATGAGTGGGACTTGACCATGGACTGGAGGTGGCTTATGGGAGGGAGCCATCCAGGCTTCAAGGCAGGTCACACGTGGTCAGGACTGACCTCTCGTTAATGTTGTCTGTTCGGAGGGTGTAGACCCGGTCAATGTGAGAAATGTGGAAGACAGGCTCATCGCTGGAAGGGTCTGTGGGCAGTTTCACCAAGACTTCATTCAGGAAAATGGGCTGAAAGAGTTAGGGCCAAAACACAGGCTGTGAGATGGGCCAGAACCCTCCACCCGCCTACATCTCGGGAGAGCTTGGTTCTGAAGAGCCTTGTTGAGAAGCAGAGAAGGGTTGAGCTTCTCGGGTCTTTTACTTTGGGAAAAAGAGACTGTGTCCATTTTGTGGAAGAAAACATCTTGGGCAGATCAGAGGTTCCTGAACTGGGGACAGGAGCTCTGAGTGTCCATGACTGCTCATAGGACAGGGTCTCTCCTCCACGTTCCTACACAGAGCACTCTGCTCCAGCTTCAGTTTCACAGAGACCTGATGCTGAATGTGGGATCACACGGCACGTTTGCCAGGGAGGAGGCCAGAATCCACAGCTGGAATCCAGTCTTCAGCTGCAAGAGGGCAGTGAGAGCCCAGCCACACTGGGGCCTCCTCCCTGGGACCTGAGGAAGGGGGAGTGACCCGTCTGGAGACAGGTGTAGAGAGTCCCACGAGGACAAGAAAGGCTCAGGTTGGGAAGGAGGTCCTCAAGGTGAAACACCTCGTTACGCTCCTGATGCCATGGCCAGGAATGCAACACTTACCGTTTTATACATTTTGAACTGCGCATTGGACTTAGAGCTGAAAAGCTTCTCAGAGCCTGAGGAAACAGCAAACTGCTTGACCATGTAGGTCAGGAGCAGAAAGTCGTTGAAGAGGAATCCATGTAGCTCCTTATTGCTCTTGGTCTTATATAGTTTCCCACTGTGCAGAAGCTTCCGGGGTCCCAGGCAGTTGGTGAGGGAGTTGAAGATAAGTTGCTTAAAGAGAAATTGTCGCTTTGTAAGTCCCGGCACAAACCATCCCCGTGCCCCTCGAGAGGCCAGTGCCCTGGACCTGAGGGTGCGGTGGTAGAATCTTCTAGTTGGGAATGTGGCTATAATCATTCATCTTGACACAAAAGGTCCTTGCATTTATTTTTCTTCAGAGTTCAAACTGGCATCATAAAAATGATTACTTACATCCACAGAATATGGATTTACCAGCTGAATTCAAAGAATTCAAAAATACCCAATTTCTCTTTATAAGAAAGGGAAATGACGCCCCAAGAAGAGGCAGGATGGTGAGTCCAACAGGGGCTGGGCTGAGGCATATACTGTTCACAGCAGGGGAGGCCTGAACCCAGTTCCCCACCCAGAGCCTCCCTAGTGGCACCCAGCCCAGCCGCACAGGCCTCACCTCTGTGAGACCTTCACACTGAACGTGCGCCTGGATCCACTCCAGCCGGTCTGAATTTTCTTTTTCCCGAACTCCTTCATTAACTTGGGAACAAAGCTCCTCTGCCCGCTCAAGAGCCAACTTTAGGGAGGAATGGTCTACGTGATTCTCCAGGGTGTTCTCCAGAATCTGGAAAAGAGTGGGAAGCAGAGTGTCAGCCACCCACCCAGACGTCCTCCTGGCCGCTGTATGTGCTGTGTGCTGGGCACCGGCTCTACAACAGAAAGATAATTGTTTGCCCTCGACGAGCTCATGGCTCCGGAGTTCTTGGGGGGACAGGGGACTCGGGTACAGAGGGTGTGCCAAGTGCTACTTGGATCAAGTGCCCTGAAACGTGTGCATGGCTGGTGGCTCTCTGGCAGGGTCTTGGTAAGAGTACCTGTGTTGAAGGGGGCTCCCTACGGCCCCCAGGCACTGAAGCCACGCTGTGCACTTAACCTGGCAGCAGGACTGGCCGCAGCCCCCTCAGCGTGTGCGCTTGCTGCAGAGTGAGGGCTCCTAACATTCTGGGGGCCGCTGGGCTTTTTTAAGAATCTGAAGAAAGGAATGTATCCTCTGCTACGGGAAAAATACAATAAAATCATGTCATCAGCTTGTAGGAAAACACGTTGAGTTCACTCCGAAGTGACTTCAAACTAATGTTACAAATGCAAAAGAAGAGAAGCTGGCACACAGCTGTGTGGCCCCTTGGGCAATGAGCGCGGCCCCATCAGCACATGGCTCCTGCCTGAACTCTGGCCATGTTGGGGCCACAGTCCTTTGTTTATGGGACAAACCCCTGGAAGTCTAAAGTGTTTTCAATATTCACTTGGTGGCAAAACCTGACCCAAACTGAAGAGAGGTATTTATTTATTCTATTTAAAAGTGATTATTCATGTATTTCACTGTAGGAATATTACTGTTTGGTTACAGGTGATGTCCAGGCTTTGTTGTGATGTCAGATAGAATACAGTATTTGAATTACATTCTGAATTTTGAAACACATCTGGCTCAAAATATTTCAAGTAAGGGGCTGTGGATTACTCTGTACTAATGGGTCAGTTTGGTATCATAACTGTAACATAAGGTCCATACTGAGTTAACGTGGCTTAGAGACCAACGGTCAAGGGATGATCAATAAAAGTAAGTCTTATATTATTTTTGCTGTTTTTCTTTGTAAGATGATTAAAATCGTATCCGTGATAACTTGTGGAAAAATGCTTTGTAAGGTGCACCAGCTCCTTAGAAGGCATGTTGGCTCAAGAGGCCCACATAGCTGATGTTAACAGATGGATGGTATTTTAGGACTGTTGAGTTAGCAAGCTGAGGTGGGGTAAGGCGAGGGGCTGGTGATGAGCTCTGGTTAGGACATGCTGAGTCAGGACTCCTGAGATAATCTAGGTAAAGGGGATTAGCTGGTAGGTGAATTCAGATCTCAGGCAGAAAGACTGGAGTCCAGGCTTGTGCTAACAGTGGACTCTGGGCTCAAGCCAGGCTCCACAGCCGCAGACCTAGAGGGCGACGGCCCTGCCCAGAAAAACACACTCCTGACTCTGAGGCCAGGGGAGTTTCCTGGGGGAGGGGAGGATGGGTCACCAAGTGACACTGGATGGCTTTTATTTGCCTACTCCGGACTGCATGTTCGCGTGCACGTGAGTGTGCACACACACGGTGCCTGGTCCCTGTGGCTCCGCTCTGTCCCAGCCAGGGCACTCACACTTCTGATGAGGAGAGGGTAGCGGGTGATCCTCTGCATGGGCTTCAGCAGGAAGCTGGAAAGGGGCATTCCTTTACATCGAGGGTCAGACGCCAACTTCTGCAAATAACCGAGAGGCTCATGAGGAAATCACAGCTTCAAGGAAAACAAAGGGACACTGACTGTACTCCTGACGTTGACCACCTTTTAGATTTCTCATTTCTCTAAGAACTCAGGATTCAAGGGTGCCTGGGTGGCTCAGTCATTAAGCGTCTGCCTTCGGCTCAGGTCATCCCAGGGTCCTGGGATCGAGCCCCGCATCGGGCTCCCTGCTCAGTCGGAAGCCTGCTTCTTTCTCTCCCACTCCCCCTGCTTGTGCTCTCTCTCCTTTCTCTCTGATGAATGAAAAATGAATTCTTAAACAACAACAACAACAACTCAGGATTCAAAATGAGACGTATCAGATTAACAGCAGGGGTATCTCCCCTCATTTGGTCAAGTCAGCAGATGCTTTGCAGCTCTTTCTTTCTCACGTGGATTTGTGTCTGTGCCATCACTCTCTCCTTTGCTTCCAGAACCACTGACAGCTCTCTTCCCAGCCGGCTCCTTGCCGATCCTCACTTCCTTCTCCCCTACCAGCTAGTAACCGTAGGTGCTGCCTGAGACCCCGTGCAGCTGAGTCCCGGAGTGTCACCCAGACCCTCTCTGGAGCTCCATGCTTGCCGCGTTACTCTCCCCCCAACCCGGATCTCCGACTCAGTACCCCAGTATACCCCAAAGTCCTCCTCTTCCTTCATGAAAGCCTTCTCTTCCACCTCCGTCCCTGAGTTGGTAGCACCATTCTGCCCCCACCCACCTTCCCTCCACACACCAGGGAGTCACCTTCCACACCAATCTGTCTTCTATTTTTTTTTTTTTAAAAATTTAATTAATCAATTGAAAAAAAAAAAAAACGGGAAAAAAAAAACAAGAACCGGGGGGGGGCTCCCTGCTGAGCCAGGAGTGCGATGTGGGGCTCGATCCCAGGACCCTGGAATCAAGGCCTGAGCCGAAGGCAGACGCCTAACCATCTGAGCCCCCAGGCGCCCCCCCAATCTGTCTTCTAAACAACTCTTGATTTCCCCTGCCTCTGCCTGCCTGTTGTCTCTGCTTTATCAGAAACAATCACTACCATTTACTGAGCACCCACAATGTGCCAGTCACGAGTGCATTAGCCTTGGCTACTGTTCCTTCTGCTCTCTCGTCACTTAATTCATACTCATTTCTGAAGACTTACATTATGCCTCCTCTTGGCTAGCCTCTCCCCTTCCTTGATGCCTTCCCCGCTTTTCAGTGATCCTTCTTGAGCCTCCACAATAACCCGTGGACACCTTTATTGTAACAACACCTCCGGACTGCGTAAGACAGGTAGAGGGATCACACTGGAGATGTCTCCATGACCTTGCAGACTGTTAGCTCCAGGAGACTAAGGACCACAACTTACTTGCTTCTACTCCTATTATTAATATAGTACCTGAATAAAGTAGCCAGTATTCTTGGATGACCATTTTTTATTTTTATTTTTTGATGACCATTTGTAATGACTTTGAAAAGCATATTTACTATAATTTACCTATATCCTACTATGAGATATTAAAACTGCTCCTTCCTTTTGTTTTTGGATATATCTATATATGTTGCTATAACAAGACTCTCCATGCTTTTTATTTCTGTATTTTCTGAGACTTTTTAAAAAGTTACATTTCGGGGCACCTGGGTGGCTCAGTCAGTTAAGCATCTGCCTTCGGTTCAGGTCATGATCCCGAGGTCCTGGGATTGAGTCCTGCATTGGGCTCCCTGCTCAGTGGGGAGCCTGCTCCTCCCTCTGTCTCTGCCGCAGGGCCCTCCCCTGTCCCCCGCTCATGTGCCCGTGCTCGCTCTCTCTCTCGCTCTCCCTCTATCTTAAATAAAAAAAATCTTTAAAAAAATAAAAGGTTACATTTAGAACAAAGCTTATTGCTAGATTTTGTTTTTAATATAATGTAATCAACACAATGCCTTTCATTATGAGACTATAAACTTATTTATTCTTACCATTGTTACAGTTGTGATGACACTGATACCCTATTTACATTGCTATTGTTATTACTATTTGGAAAATTTAAAAAGTCTTTTACTTACGCTTTAGAAGGTACACATCCAATTATTTTTTAAAAAGATTTTATTTTTAAGTAATCTTTACACCCAATGTGGGGCCTGAACCTACAACCCCGAAATCAAGAGTCACATGCTCTACCAATTGAGCCAGTCAGGCACCCCTAAATATCATATCCTATTTTTAATTCTACTATTCCTTATTTTAAAACATTTGCATGCACTCACAATCCCATATTTATCAACTTATTCTGACCAGCGTTTGTATGTCTGTGATCTTGGTTCCCTTGTATGTTTCTTCTAGTTCATTTCTAAGCAAGCCCGTGCCTCCCTCCCCTTACTGCCAATTGAAGAGTCAGTCCTCAGGGCCTTACTTACATCGAATAATTTTTGCATCCCAATAATTTTTGCATCCCTGAAATCATAATAAGGAAGGTAAATATAATTAACATTTATTGAATGCTTATTATGTGCTGGTCTCTGTGCTAAAAAGTACTTTAAAAGTAGTATCTGACTATCTCTGGGTTACACACTGGAGAATGAAGGCACCAAACGTTAAGTAGCTTGCCTTGGTCCCACACCCCGCAGGCTGATTCTGAAGCCTGTCTTATTCTAAGATGATACTATGTTGCCTCCTGCGATGATCCTGTTTGGTTATGACAGACTCTTCTTTTCGTGTAAGGCTTAATTTTATTCACTGATATATATATATATTTTTAAAGATTTTATTTATTTATTTGATAGAGAGAGACACGGCGAGAGAGGGAACGCAAGCAGGGGG